TAGAAGAACACAATCGGTCTATATCTTTATCAAAATATACAAAATTTGAGAAAGGAAAGTGATTCATTTGTGACACTTCTCTTTGAAATTGAGAAAATTGTGTGTTATATCTTATCATAACAACTGTTTTTAAAAAGTACAGACCATTTGTGTATGATCCATTTTTTCCAACTTTGCCAAATAAGGGGAAACAACTCAGATTACCTTACTTTTACTACCAAAATGTTTGATTAATTACACCACTTTCCGCAAAATATATTTTTGTAGATTTTTAGAATGTTGTTCATAGATAGTAACAGACTTGTTTTTCAGAGAAACACTTTGTGTTGCAATTTGTTGCAGGTTGTTCACCAAATTGGCTAGACTACAAGGATATCAGCAGGTCAGCATATTAGCGTAAAAGAATTGCCAGTGGCGGATCCAGGGGGGGGGGGGATCCGGGGGTTGGAATCCCCCCTTTTTTTTGACGATCAATGCATTTGAATGGGGACATATAGTTGGAACCCCGCTTTTATAAATGGCTGGATCCACCCCTGTATGCAATAATTAGAGGGTAAAGCACTTTTGCGTAAAACAATGATATAATAATAGGAAGGTAAAACATCCTAGCCTAAAAACAACGATACTAAAGGTAGGTTAATCACCTTGATTAACGCCAAAACAATAGATATCAGGTCGGTTGAGCATATTATAGTAAAATATATGACGTAGTGGTTTGATTAAGCACCTTTGCGTCAAAACAAGGATATCAGGTTGTTTAAGCATATTAGCGTATAAGAAATTACATGACGGGTCGTTTTTATGCTGATTCTCTGAAAATATAAAAGTTAAACGTTCTTTGAATTTGGCTACTGTCCAGGTTTCTTTTATTGAACATCGTATGTTTAAACATGAAAATAAGAAGATGTTGTATGATTGCCAATTAGACACTCTTCACAAAGACCAAATGACGTAGAAGGTAACAACTATAGGTCACCGTACGGCCTTCAACAATGAGCAAAATTCATACTGCATAGCAAGCTATAAAATGACAAATGTAAAACCATTCGAACGAGAAAACTAACGGCCTGATTTAAGTACAATACAATAAACGATAAAATGTCCCCCGTGTTGCACATATTTTAGCTGTCTGTCGAAGGACAATAACTAAAAAAATATTAAAACTTTTTAAAATTATCTTACTAGAGAGTTGAAGACTTGAGAGCAATTTCCGATATATTTAATATTTGCAAGGGAAACTCATTAAAAATATTTGATCGGCACTTATTTTTGAAATTGTCTGAGACATTGCTGTTATATACCTTTGATATAAGTTTCATAAAAAATCTGGCAAAAATTGTACATGCGAGAGGACTTACAATGCAATTTTCCATATAATCAATGTCTCCAAGGGGCTTAACTCTTTAAATTAAAAATAATTGATCGGCGCTGATTTTCGAACTCGTCCAAGACATGGCTAATATAAACCTTTATATTAGTTTCATAAAAATCTAATAAGAATTGTACAAATGAGAGCGCTAATAAGGCAATTTTCCATAAAATTGATATTTCCAAGGGGCATAACTCATTTAAAAATAATTGATCCGCACTGATTTTCGTACTCGTCCAAGACATTGCTTATATACACCTATGATGTAAGTTTCATAAAAATCTGGCAAGAATTGTACACGCGAGAGCGCTAACAAGACCGGACGGACGCACGGTCGGACACACGGACAGACGGATGAACGGACGGACGGACGCCCGGTATATCTATGTCCCCCACAACGCGTTACGCGGGGGACAAAAAACAAAGATGATATACAACAACAAACCATTAAATTACAAGCTCCTGACTTAGGACAGGCATATACAGAATGCGGCGGGATTATAAATGTTTGCTGGCGCCAATCCCTCCCCCTAACCTGGGACAGTGGTGCAACAGTACAACATCCCAAAGCAAACTATAAAAATCAGTTGGAAAAGGCCCAACTCAGTTCGATACAAAGCAGAAAAACAACTAACAAAAACAAAGACCGAACGTGGCTGGGTATTTATATCCCCCCAAACAAAAAAAGACACAAAGTGCAGATCTGAGAGTACTCGCAGTTACTGACAGCTTGTTAAAAGCCAATAACAACTAATAAACAAATCATGTATCTAAGACTAAAATATAAATCAGTACATATCCAACATCCAATGGATTTAGTGTAAAGACGTCAACAGTCAGAGAAAAAATGACCTTGTGCAATGCCTATATATAGGTATCGACAGATGGTAGAACCGTGAATGTGTATATGTATATATAACAAAAATCTTTAGTACTATTTTAATTTACTGATAACAAAATCAATATTAAACCAATAAAACATATTAAAAGATCTTATTACAGTGTTGAATTGATAACCTTTAAGAATATCATAAGTTTATTTAAAGGATCGATAAGTTTACCCGGATCGTATCTTAATTTCCGGGCTCGGTAAACAACATCACCGTAAAGATAAGAATGTTATACAGTTTTCATTTTTGGGTAAATTGTGTCTTAAAGCTTGCAATTCATTGACGTATACCAAGCATAACCTTTTGTATATTAATTTGATTATTAACGTTACATTATGTTTGTACAATGCCATCTTTTTTAATTACAAACAAGTACTTATTGCGTTTTCAAAGCCTCCTCCCCTAAACAAAAAAAACAACAACAACAAAACAACTCTAACACCAGCACAAAATATCACACGTAACAAGGAAAAATGAATAACAAAAAGTAAAACAAATACGAAAAGAAAAGAAAAGAAATACTTTTTGAGCATTATACAAATTAAAACATGATACAAAAAAGAAGATGTGGTATGATTGCCAATGAGACAACTCTCCACAAGAGACCAAATGACACAGAAATTAACAACTATAGGACACCGTACGGCCTTCAACAATGAGCAAAGCCCATACCGCACAGTCAGCTAAAAAAGGCCCCGAAATGACAATGTAAAACAATTCAAACGAGAAAACTAACGGCCTAATTTATGTACAAAAAAAGAACGAATAACAAATATGTAACACATAAACAAACGACAACCACTGAATTACAGGCTCCTGGCTTGGGACAGGCACATTCATACAGATTGTGGCGGGGTTAAACATGTTAGCGGGATCCCAATGATGTACTATTAATAATTTGTTTTTCAGTTATGCAATTACATATAGAAACGTTCTAAATTCATATTAACAGTGTTTGTTGTAACCAAAGCTTAAACGTTTGATTTCGAATAGCTATGGAAGGGTTGCCAATGTCAAACAATCACAGAGGGATACGCCAAATTGTAACACATTTCATCACGATTATACTCGATTTACTAAGATAAAAGCAATATTGCCCATGCTTCACTCATTAACAGAAACACCCTAAGAATCTAAAAATGAAAGCTACGTCCAAAGAAAAAGTCGTAAAGATTGGTATTTACCAATACGTTCGCAATACCCTAACACATCACGTACAAGACAGATGATTACATCTATTTCACAGATCCTAAGACACAAAAAACGCGTCAGGTGAAGGCAACGGATTCGCAGATACAATAACAGTTCCCTCAGACACAAAGTACACGTCAGGAGAAGACAATGTATTCAGATACATTTACAACAGATAAGATAAGATTAGAAAATATACTTTTTCTTCAAATTAAAGAGCAACATTTAACATTTAGGGGATACGTGTTGCTCAGTCTTTGGTTATTATATGAAGAGTTTTGTAGACTGTATTTGTTGGGATACGTGTTGCTCAGTCTCTGGTTATTATATGTAGTGTTTTGTATACTGTTGTTTCTTTCTTCATCGTTTTTCGTTATTTGTCATTATTTTTTCGGTCTCTCTTCGGCATCTGTCGAATCTTTTTTAAAGGTGTTTTTATGATTTATTGAATATGAAGTGAAAGTGCTGTCTTAAGCTCTCAATCAGATCAGAATGGGCACTGAACAAAAAACACATTTGAAATTTTGTTAATCTCCGAGTATTTTTGCATCATCCCATACCAATAATATATATTTTGCATATATTGGCCATCATCAGAGAAAAGAGGTCGAATATTGGTAACGTATTAGTCATAGTTTTAGGTTGTCTTTTGTCTGTTGTCATGTTTTAATGTTTTATGCAGAATTGGGAGCTGGTAGCAGATTTTTGAGTGTCCCTCTTTAATTTATTCACAATTTTATAGACTTAGGGTGATTCAGAGCTTGAACTTATTTAGACACCTGTCCATTGCAAAAGACAGATGCTTGTGACATCTAGATTTATTTATTGAGTTGTTACATCGTGTACCTACTTTCACTTGTGTTTCTGTATTAAGTCGATTTCATGAGTTTCTATTTTAAGAATATCAACATTATGCTTACACGTATGGCGCGATGAAACAGGTGATGGAAAATCCCAATGATCTATTTTTAATGTACTGGACTTTTAGAAAGAGAAAACCTACATACCAACAAAAACACGAAATTACGAATTCAAATAAACACAATCGTGATATCATCAGTATTTTATCTCATTTACTTAGTTCTAAATGGAATTTGGTTGCTTTGCAATCTCGGAGATTCATTGACATCGCAAATAAACAATAATAAATAACTCCTTATGTCTTTGGTGATTTTTGCATTAAAGTGATAAAAAAAATTACTTTTGTGCACTAGTCACGAGGAGGTTAAGACGGTATCTAAAATCACACTTGCTAACACGTCCAAATACATTTGCGCTTGGTCTCTTTTCCATTATAGTGACTTGTATTATTTGTTCCTTCAACTTGCTTTTCTGGATAAGAGACAAGGTGGACCTCTGTTAGAAAACTATATGATGAAATTATTAAACTATTTGTATTTGCACTCTGGCATGGCAGTTAAATCAAAGATATGAAATTTTGAAAGAACTAAACTAACTTATAAAAAATAACAATAACAATTGTTTTATGTTGTGATATTTTATATGATTATATATATATTTTATGACAATCTCATCCACTTTATGTGAATTTTAATTTTATCTTCATTTATATGTTTATGTGTTATGAATGAGAATGTATTGTGTATTCTTGTCATTATGTCCCGTCAGGGGCCCTTAATTGGAAATAAAGAACTTTGAACTTTGAACTTTAAACAAGTTCATCCACTGGCCATGGTCAACTGAGAGTGTCAGTCTATATTTAAAAATGGAAAACTTTCCATCTTAAAATAGATAACATGTAACATTCTATATACATAGTATTTTCAGAAATGATGTTTGTCGTATATATAAGATGTATTTCATTGTAACTTCAGTGTATTGTGGGACAGAAAAGGATTCATTATGTATAGGTAAGTAATTTACTGCTCTATATCTAAGATCTGAATAATAGAAGACACCAAATGGGATCATGATAAACCATGCGGCGGTTTACAGAAAAGAAATATTAGTTATTTGACATCCAGCACTCAACAACCAATTCTTACAAAATAATTCTCTAGTTTATTACTTAACAAATATTTTTCATTAAGTGGCAAATTTTAATAATATATTTGTAAATGGATTTTCCTTTGGTGACATCTTAAGTTATATTCAAGCATTAGTATTTACCTTTTACAGCGACGAAGAAACTGTTGGGCGAGTTGTATTCGGAGAATCTAGAGGTGAGGCGATTGAAGGACAGCGTGCTGTTGCATATACCATGGTCAACAGGGCAAACCACTCTGGTTTCCCGAACTCCGTAAGGGACGTAGCAAATCAGAGGACTACCTCAGGAGGTCATCAGTACGAAACCTTGGATCTACCTTCACATAACAGCGCATGGGACGATCATAAAAGGAGGAATACACAAGAGTATAGAAACGCAATGGAAGCCTCCCAAGATGCTCTCAGTAGAAGAAACACTGATCCAACTCACGGTGCTACGAGTTTCAATCAAAGTCCCGGACCCAACAAAACAAGAATAGGAAATCACTATTTCTATCGTAATTAGAGAATTGTCTGTAAACAAACTTGTTCATGCTTTAATCTACTGCACTACCGATTTTCATATCTTAGTTACAGGAAGTACTAATCTTTTCGTCCTGTTGGACATATAAATATATATTCGTATATTCTTGCATTGTCAATTACTAGCATCAAATTTATAATAACACTATATGATGTTTGAGATATTTCAATTGATGAACTATGCTTTTTATGTTTTCTCATCATTGTACGACTTTTTCCGTTTTTGGAACCTTAACTTGAAATAAAATATCTTGATGAAGAAAACATATTTATTCTGAAGTATTTGAAGCCTGTTATATTGGAGATTATTATGGACTTTTTTTGTATCTATGATGAGTCTATTATGAGTTTATTTGATGTTTTCTTATAATTTTTCGTCATTAAGCTTCCAAACCTTAACAGCTATAATATTGCATCTGAAAATACCATTGAAAATATATCATTTGATTGAGGTTTAGACTCTTTGACAAACGACTCGATCTGCTTATTCAAAACATCAACTCAAACAAAACTGATTGTAATAATCATGAAACTAATATGCTTACTTCTTATTCAATTCAACTCAAACGAAAGTAGCTTGTTAGAACTGCAAATTTTTATTTCAATACAGCAACAACAAAAAATGGAACTACTAACTAGTAATAAAACGATCTGCTGATTTCTATATTGAAAGTAGTTAGTAATACGTCATAACTGTCAACAAAAACGACAAAGGTTGTATTATAACTGATCGGTCTTTTTCTACACAATACATTTTAATTTAAGCAAACGCGACTCATGATTGTAATAAAATCGATACAGTCATTTTAAAATAATATAACAACTCAAATTAAAGATTTAGTAATATATAGATAATAGATGATCTTTCTATTTCTAGACAATATAATAAATGACACGAAAGTGGTTGCTAATATAGACACTCTGCATTTTTAGCTCACCTGGCCCGAAGGGCCAAGTGAGCTAATCTCATCACTTGGCGTCCGTCGTCCGTCGTCGTCGTCCGTCGTCATTAGCTGTTTACAAAAATCTTCTCTGAAACCACTGGGCCAAATTTAACCAAACTTGGCCACAATCATCATTAGGGTATATAGTTTAAAAAATGTGTCCGATGACCCCGCCAACCAACCAAGATGGCCGCCATGGCTAAAAATAGAACATAGGGGTAAAATGTAGATTTTGGCTTATATCTCTGAAACCAAAGCATTTAGAGTAAATCTGACATAGGGTAAAACTGGTTATCAGATTATTGGTAATTTTAAGGAAATTTTGCAGTTTTTGGTTATTATCTTGAATATTATTATAGATAGAGATAAACTGTAAACAGCAATAATGTTCAGCAAAGTAAGATCTACAAATAAGTTGTCATGACCAAAATTGTCAGTCGACCCCTTTAGGAGTTATTGCCCTTAATAGTTAATTTTTAACAATTTTTCCTAAATTTTTGTAATCTTTTACAAAAATCTTCTTCTCTGAAACTATTGAGACAAATTTAACCATACGTGGCCATAATCATTATTAGGGTATCTAGTTTAAAAAATTTGTCCGACGAACCCGCCTTCCAACCATCATGGCCAACTTGGTTAAAAATAGAACATAGGGGTAAAATGCAGTTTTTGGTTTATATCTCTGAAACTAAAGCATTTAGAGAAAATCTGACAGGTGGCAAAAATGTTCATCAGATTTAGATTTATCTGCCCTGAAATTTTCAGACGAATCCGACAACCCGTTGTTGGGTTGCTGCCCCTGAGTTAGTAATTTTATAAAAATTTTGCAGTTTTTTGTTATTATCTTAGATATCATTATAATATCTAATATCTAATACAATTAATTATGATTTTAGCCTTATTTTACATGATTTCCAAAGCATCAGTAAATACAGGTGAGCGACGCAGGCTCTTGAGAGCCTCAAGTTCTTAACATTATAACATCTCAAACCAAAATGAGTTGTTTCTATAACAATCTTCCTATTTCAAAGTCGCAAGTATCAAAGACGATCTGTCTGTTTTAAGTGCTATAGCTAGTAAAAAGCAAAATAACAAAAATACCGAACTCCAAGGAAAACAGAAAGTCCCTTAACAAATGGCAAAAATAAAAGTTCAATAGAAATAAGAAGATGTGGTATGAGTGCTAATGAGACAACTCTGCATCCAAGTCACAATGTGTAAAAAATAAACAATAATAGGTACGGCCTTCAACACGAAGCCTTGGCTCACACCGAACAGCAAGCTATAAAGGGCCCCAAAATGACTAGTGTAAAACGATTCAAACAGGAAAACCAACGGTCTAATCTATATAAAAAACGAGAAACACTTATTAAGAACCACATCAACAAACGAAAACCACTCACTGAAACAGGTTCCTGGCTTAGGACAGGTGCAAACAAATGCAGCGGGTTTAAACGTTTTAACAGGCACCAACCTTCACCCTAACCTGAAATAGTAATGTAAAATTACAACATAGAAAGACACACTATAAAAAATCAATTGAAATGGCTTAACTCAATCAAAAAGACATATTAACAAAAAAAAGTAAACATACACTGAACGAATAAATTTGATCTATGACACAATGTCAAAAAGACAACTAATAATTTTGTTGTTAGGAGTACGGAGATATTTTTTACAAAATAAAGTTGTTGTTCATAGTACGAGAACAGCAGTGGAAATTTATCGTCATACTAAATACTTGTCAAAGGTGGTACATATTGAAAATAGTGAGACAAAATATAACACAAAATAAGTAAACAATGAATAACAAAAATGCATTACAAATTGTGTAACAGGTCAAATTAACACGAAAGTACAGGGCGGTTCCTATCCTATATACCCAAAACGTCGTTTGCAGGGAGGGAGGGGGTTTACAATTTGCAAATGACATACATTTGTACTACATGCCTCAACCGCATTTCTGATTTTGAATCATTTATTGCATTTCCGTTAGTTCTACTTTAGTAACGTAAGCCAACTCCATTGGCGTCCAGGATCATAACAAATAGATCTCACAAAACATGTTTAACCCCGCTGCATTTTTGCGCCTGTCCCAAGTCAGGAGCATCTGGCCTTTGTTAATCTTGTATGTATTGATTCTTACGGGGGGGGGGGCTAGGATGTAATTTGAAAAAAAGTCAGGACAGGAGTTTTGAGTAAAAAAAAAAGGCAGGATGACAATTTATGTAAAAAAAAAAGTCAGGATAAACAAATAAAAAAAGGCAGGACCGAATAGAGTGAAAAATGAAAAAGCAGGACAGAATTTACACACAAAAAAAGCAGGACAGAGATTACACAAAAAAATGCAGGACAAAATTTTTCATCTTACCCCCCCCCCCCCCCCCCCCCTAAAAATCAAATGATAGCTTCCTTACAACAACAAAAAAAATCATTTTTGAACGGGTTAAAAAAAAACTATATATTTTTTTATATATAAACTGATCGATTAGGTTGTATAAAACTTGAATACCCAATTAAGAAGACAGATAAAAAAACGATCCCACAACATCACGTTTATATATTGTTTCAAAGCATCTAAATTATGCATTCATATCTGTATGAGTATAGTAAAAGTTGTCGGTGCACTCGAATAATCCTATGCGTGATGTACATTTCATCATGCGATTAACAATTTTCTCTAATTCTATGGAAATTTATCCCGAACCCATTGTATAAAAAAATTTAATCAACGCGTGGTTGCCGGTGATCTCAGAAGATGATTGGATGAATTTAAGGGTCATAACCTTTATCAGCACACTAGATGAATCAAAATATGGCAACAGGTGTTAATGAAATTGACAACTTCATGGAATGTGGAAGGCACTCGAAGGGGATTTTCGTTAAACAAAATATAAAAATTTATTTTTTAATCATTAGAGAAACAGATTCTTACATAGTTACTCGTGGATTATCTGATTTATCCAATCTCGATAGTTAAATCATAAATTTTAAAGTCCTCGCCGAGGCTCGGACTTTAAAATTGATAATTTAACTATCTTGATTGGATAAATCCGATAATCCACTGGTATCAAATTAATGTAAGAATCTATATATAAACAACTACATGATATCGTAACATACATAACACTTTCTGAAACTTTAAACTCTTTTATCTATATATTATGAAGACCATTTAAATCGGTATATTTAATGCATTTCTCTCTATTATCGTGATCGCATCCAAATACAGTTCAAACAAAATTATTACATAACAACACCTTTTAGGTTTATATAATTAAGTACGTTTGTAAACATACAATTACCGCTCCTAATACGTTCGTTCGTCGAGATATGTTCGTTCGTCAATATCCTGGTCATCTCTATTAAAACATTAATAAGATAATCTTTACTAATAAGTTTGTTAAGGTTCGATGAGTTTTACACGGATAACTTCGTGATTTCCGCGCTTTTAGCACAATATTACCGTAAAATTTAGGATGTGAAATACCGTTTTTAATTAGTTTTCTACAGGTACAGCCAAATTTACTAATCAAATCTTTGTATATATGAAAGAATTTAGTAAAAGTTTTAAGAAATTTATGGTAACGAAATCCCTGACTTAATAATTTACCAGTGATGCATTGATTACGTTCGTTAAAATTTATGACACCACCACACACGGGCATAACGAACGAGTTGTGATATATAAACACCGTATGGTGGAGCCAAAGGGACATCGCCGTATAAAAAAGGAAAATTAACAATAGGGAATGAAAAATCGTCTCTGTTGTCGTAAAATTTAGTATGGAGTTTCCCTTTAGAAATTGAAATGTCTAAATCTAGAAAAGGACAACTACTGCTGTTTATGTTAGATTTATTTAAAGTAAGTTCCTTTGGGTAAATTTCGGTAGTATATTTAGAGAACTCTGGATTATTTAACGACAAAATATCATCAAGATAACGGTAGGTATTGTTGAATGTGTATCTAGCATACTTTCCTTTTTCGTTACAGAAAAAGGCTTTAAACGAGTTACAGCAAATAAATTTGCAACGTGATTTTTCAAAAGACCATTTAATTAAATATGAAAACTTTTTCTTGATAAGATTGTGTGGACGTGTAGTGTAGAGAGTAGAAAAATCATAACTGTCAACAGAATTAAAAGGACCACCAAAAGCACAAATTTTATCTAAAACCTCTAAAGAATTTTTAACACTCCAAAAATAATTAATACCATTATTTTCATAAGCTTTATTACAAAAGGTAAAAACAAGTTCTTTGGTAGTAGTAAGGGAGATAGTTAGAAGCACTGACATACTAGTAGTAGAACACTTACTAGATGCGGAGATGAAACGAAATTTAATGATTGTTTGTGTAATTTAGGTAACCAGTACATAGTCGGGACTTTCAAATTTCGAAAGAGGCTTTAAGCTGGGTAGTGGCGGTGATATGATTGTTTACAATTTGACTCTCTGTGGAGCGTACTGACCTGAATGTAGAAGAATTGATAATTCGTTTGGGAAAACTTCCGTGTAGTATATGCGTCATACCACCACTACATTATTGGCTGCTTTGTCTGCCGGTACGAAAACAAACCGTTTTGCGAGTACTTGGAGTTTATTTTTTATTCTAGAAATGGGTATATCATGAACCATATTATTAATTTCAAACTCATCAAACGAATTGAAAACAACTGTCATATTCCAAACTTGGAACAGGCATTTCCTCATGTAGAAAATGGTGGATGAAACCTGGTTTAATAGCTAGCTAAAACCCTCACTTGTATAACAGTCGCATACTTTCAATACAGAAATATAGAAATACAAGTAGCAAGTAATATAACCTTCAACCCAAATGAAATTTGCCAGTAATATAACCGTTAATCTAAATGAAAGAAGCTGTAATATAACTTTCGATCCAAACGAAAGAGTTTCGTAACGTAGCCTGTAATGTAATAATGCAGAATTGGGAGCTGATAGCAGATTTTTGAGTGTTTAATTTATTCACAATTTAATAGACTTAGGGAGCTGCCATTTGATTTTATGGGGGGAGGGGGGGCTAGGATGAAAAATTTTGTCCTGCATTTTTTTTAGTTGTAATCTCTGTCCTCCTTTTTTATTTTTCACTCTATTCGGTCCTGCATTTTTTTTTTTTTAGTTTATCCTGACTTTTTTTTACATAAATTGTCATCCTGCATTTTTTTTTTTGCAAAGTGCCTCATCCTGCATTTTTTTTACTCAAAACTCCTGTCCTGCCTATTTTTTTCGTCGATTTTATTAAGTCGATTTCATGAGTTTCTATTTTAAGAATATCGACATTATGCTTACACGTATGCCGTGCTGAAACAGGTGATGGAAAATCCCAATGATCTATTTTTAATGTACTGGACGTTTAGAAAGAGAAAACCTACATACCAACAAAAACACGAAATTACGAATTCAAATAAACACAATCGTGATATCATCAGTATTTATCTTATTTACTTAGTTCTAAATGGAATTTGGTTGCTTTGCAATATCGGAGATTTCATTGACATCGCAAATAAACAATAACATATAACTCATAATGTCCTAAACAAGTTCATCCACTGGTCAAGGTCAACTGAGAGTGTCAGTCTATATTCAAAAATGGAAAACTTTCCATCTTAAAATAGATAACATGTAACATTCTGTATACATAGTATTTTCAGAAATGATGTTTGTCGTATATATAAGATGTGTTTCATTGTAACTTCAGTGTATTGTGGGACAGAACAGGATTCATTATGTATAGGTAAGTAATTTACTGCTCTATATCTAAGATCTGAATACTAATAATAGAAGACACCAAATGGTATCATGATAAACCATGCGGCGGTTTACAGAAAAGAAATATTAGTTATTTGACATCCAGCACTCAACAACCAATTCTTACAAAAATAATTCTCTAGTTTATTACTTTAACAAATATTTTTCATTAAGTGGCAAATTTTATTAATATATTTGTACATGGCTTTCTTTTGGTGACATCTTAAGTTATATTCAAGCATTAGTATTTACCTTTTGCAGCGACGAAGAAACTGTTGGGCGAGTTGTATTCGGAGAATCTAGAGGTGAGGCGATTGAAGGACAGCGTGCTGTTGCATATACCATGGTCAACAGGGTAAACCACTCTGGTTTCCCGAACTCCGTAAGGGACGTAGCAAATCAGAGGACTACCTCAGGAGGTCATCAGTACGAAACCTTGGATCTACCTTCACATAACAGCGCATGGGACGATCATAAAAGGAGGAATACACAAGAGTATAGAAACGCAATGGAAGCCTCCCAAGATGCCCTCAGTAGAAGAAACACTGATCCAACTCACGGTGCTACGAGTTTCAATCAAAGTCCCGGACCCAACAAAACAAGAATAGGAAATCACTATTTCTATCGTAATTAGAGAATTGTCTGTAAACAAACTTGTTCATGCTTTAATCTACTGCACTACCGATTTTCATATCTTAGTTACAGGAAGTACTAATCTTTTCGTTCTGTTGGACATATAAATATATATTCGTATATTCTTGCATTGTCAATTACTAGCATCAAATTTATAATAACACTATATGATGTTTGAGATATTTCAATTGATGAACTATGCTTTTTATGTTTTCTCATCATTGTACGACTTTTTCCGTTTTTAGAACCTCAACTTTAAATAAAATATCTTGATGAAGAAAACATATTTATTCTGAAGTATTTGAAGCCTGTTATATTGGAGATTATTATGGACTTTGCTTGTATCCATGATGAGTCTATTATGAGTTTATTTGATGTTTTCTTTTAATTTTTCGTCATTAAGCTTCCAAACCTTAACAGCTATAATATTGCATCTGAAAATACCATTGAAAATATATCATTTGATTGAGGTTTGGACTCTTTGACAAACGACTCGATCTGCTTATTCAAAACATCAACTCAAACAAAACTGATTGTAATAATCATGAAACTAATATGCTTACTTCTTATTCAATTCAACTCAAACGAAAGTAGCTTGTTAGAACTGCAAATTTTTATTTCAATACAGCAACAAAACAAATGGAACTACTAACTAGTAATAAAACGATCTGCTGATTTCTATATTGAAAGTAGTTAGTAATACGTCATAACTGTCAACAAAACGACAAAGGTTGTAATATAACTGATCGGTCTTTTTCTACACAATACATTTTAATTTAAGCAAACGCGACTCATGATTGTAATAAAATCGATACAATCATTTTAAAATAATATAACAACTCAAATTAAAGATTTAGTAATATATAGATAATAGATGATCTTTCTATTTCTAGACAATATAATAAATGACACGAAAGTGGTTACTAATATAGACACTCTGCATTTTTCTTAACATGTTAACATCTCAAACTAAAATGAGTTTATTCTATAACAATCTTCCTATTTCAAAGTCGCAAGTATCAAAGACGATGTTTCTGTTTTTAAGAGCTATAGCTAGTAAAAAGTAAATAACAAAAATACCGAACTCCAAGGAAAACAGAAAGTCCCTTAACAAATGGCAAAAGCAAAAGTTCAATAGAAATAAGAAGATGTGGTATGAGTGCCAATGAGACAACTCTCCATCCAAGTCACAATGTGTAAAAAATAAACAATTATAGGTACGGCCTTCAACACGAAGCCTTGGCTCACACCGAACAGCAAGCTAAAAAGGGCCCCAAAATGACTAGTGTAAAACGATTCAAACAGGAAAACCAACGGTTTAATCTATACAAAAAACCAGAAACGAGAAACACTTAAGATTCACACCAACAAACGAAAACCACTCACTGAAACAGGTTCCTGACTTAGGACAGGTGCAAACAAATGCAGCGGGTTTAAACGTTTTAACAGGCACCAACCTTCACCCTAACCTGAAATAGTAATGTAAAATTACAACATAGAAAGACAAATTATAAAAAATCAATTGAAATGGCTTAACTCAATCAAAAAGACATATTAACAAAAACAAGTAAACATACACTGAACGAATAAATTTGATCTATGGCACAATGTCAAAAAGACAACTAATAATTTTGTTGTTAGGATACGGAGATATTTTTTACAAAATAAAGTTGTTGTTCATAGTACGAGAACAGCAGTGGAAATGTATCGTCATACTAAATACTTATCAAAGGTGGTACATATTAAAAATAGTGAGACAAGATATAACACAAATAAGTAAACAATGAATAACAAAAATGCATTACAAATTGTGTAACAGGTCAAATTAACACGAAAGTACGATTTGAGAGTACTCGCAGTTACTGAAAGCTAGTTAAAAGCCCAAAACAATTAATAATAAAAAATCATGCATCAGAGACTTAAATCAACCAAAACACATCCCAGGGATTAAGTGTTTTAACGCCATGGACAGTCAAAGAAGACATGACTTGTGCAATGCCAAAATAAAAGTATCGACAGGCAGTAGGATAGTTTGGATTTAACCTTATTATAAATATGTATAATGTTATATATAGATAAAGCAATCTCTATATAGAAAATGAACGTGGGTATGTATTTATACATCCAAAAAACCATTCGAAAAGAATACAAATTTAGTTATGTTCAAATCGATATTTGTGGAAATGTAAACAATTCAAAGGTTTTAATAGAGGTGATCAGGATATTGACGAACGAACGTACGAAAGCGTAACTTGACGAATCGTACGAAGCGGGAGCGGCTGTTTATACATATTAATGAATTAATCCAACATAAAAACGTCGAAGTGAAGGAAATCGTATGGTTCTGCATGTAGTTAATTGAACTGTTTGTGTAGCTTACTCCAAGCATTAAAAATTCAATGTTTGCTACAATAGCAAAAGGTGCACTCGATATTCAAGACTGTTTTAAAATTTGAGGTTCCAAAAGTGTTTTTTTTTGTACAAAAGGGTGAAAGCATAGATATCAAAGTTTGATATACATGTAATTGATTTTTAATCCTAAATCTTGTTTTTTCTTTTCCGAAATTTTCGTTGGCTTATGCCCCCAGACCAGCCAGATTATGCTGGTTACACGGAACCCTGACCAAATTTAAAGAAATAGGTTCCCAAAATTGTTTTTTTAATATTATGCATGTCGTAAAAAGGCGATACTACAAAAATAGGTATTGAAGTTTATTACTAGTGTATTGATACTTTTGATAATCAAATTGCAGTTGCATCTCTTATGGTTATTACATTTTCCGCTCATTTTATTAGTTTATTCATTGTAATTGCAAATTTATAAGAAAATAAGTCAGTTTACAGACTGCAAACGACAACAGAATCTTGTTTAAACGTTCATGTTATCCAATATACCAAATCAGAGGAGGTGCATACTGGTAAGGGCCCAATCTCTGAGTACAAAGGGATATAACCCTAGGAAAATTGGACCAGATTATCCAACCTACGCACACAGATGGACCTAAAGTACGTTTCAACTGCCTGAGTATCACATTATGGCATTTCTTAAATAAAAATCAGACAATATAAAGAGAACATCATTTTGAAATGTTGGTTTAGACATTCTTGAGACAATTACATTTTGTGACATGTGTCCAACTGCTATGGCTTCATGTGAAAATCGACATTTTAGGACAAAGCTCAATTTTTTTACAGTAAACATGTAATTACTGGAAATTAAGTTATTTTGTACCTATGTTTCTACACTAAATCAATCGGTATATTACTAAACGAAATCCTTCCACATTTCAAACGTTAAAAATAATGACCTAATGGACCAAAAAAGGTTTATTATTGGTAAGAACAGAAATACCTTGTTTTCCCGCCGAAACTCAAAGTGCCAAAGACCAGTAACTTTGGGAAAATGGATGGACTGCAATATAATTCCTTCTTGTAGGTATGTAAAATTCCAAAGTGCACTAACCCTTATAAAACATTTTCCCAAAGTTACTGGCCTTTGGAACTTTGTAGTTTCTGTGACAAAGTGCATACTATTTAAGTCCAAAGGGACTCTGACAGATCTCAATGAACCGGAGCATCCTATCTACATTGAAGTTTCATATCATTGTCAGGAACTGTATAAAGTTTAGACAAAAGACACAGACAGTTGGTAGGGACAGATAGATAGACAAACATACAGACATACACCTGCGATTCCTATCCTATATACCCAAAACGTCGTTTTCAGGGAGGGAGGGGGTTTACAATTTACAAATGACATACACTTGTACTCGATGCCTCAACCGCATTTCTGATTTTGAATCGTTTATTGCATTTCCGTTAGTTCTACTTTAGTAACGTAAGCCAACTCCATTGGTGTCCAGGATCATAACAACAATTCCTAAAGGGAATTTCCTTCCACGAGGACCATTTCAACAAAACTATATTGGCTAGAGGTACAGGGTAGGGCTGAGATCTTACAAAACATGTTTAACCCCGCCGCATTTTTGCGCCTGTCCCAAGTCAGGAGCATCTGGCCTTTGTTAGTCTTGTATGTATTTGATTCTTAGGGGGGGGGGGGGGGGCTAGGATGTAATTTGAAAAAAAGTCAGGACAGGAGTTATGAGTAAAAAAAAAGGCAGGATTACAATTTATGTATAAAAAAAAAGTCAGGATAAACTAATAAAAAAAGGCAGGACCGAATAGAGTGAAAAATGAAAAAGCAGGACAGAAATTACACAAAAAAAAAATGCAGGTCAACATTTTTTATCCTAGCCCCCCCCCCCCCCTAAAAACTTAGTCAAATGGTAGCTCCCTTACAACAAAAACAAAAATCATTTTTGAACGAGTTAAAAAAACAACAATATATTTTTTTTATATATAAACTGATCGATGAGATTGTATAAAACTTGAATACCCAATTAAAAAGACAGATAAAAAAACGATCCCACAACATCACGTTTATATATTGTTTCAAAGCATCTAAATTATGCATTCATATCTGTATGAGTATAGTAAAAGTTGTCGGTGCACTCGAATAATCCTATGCGTGATGTACATTTCATCATGCGATCAACAATTATAAACAACTACATGATATCGTAACATACGTAACACTTTCTGAAACTTTAAACGTCTTGTATCTATATATTATGAAAACCATTTAAATCGGTATATTTAATGCATTTCTCTCTATTATCGTGATTGCATCCAAATACAGTTCAAACATAATTATTACATAACAACACCTTTTAGGTTTAAGTACGTTTGTAAACATACAATTAATAGAGAATTTGCATTATTCCCGTATTTGCTGGCGTATCCGTATCGACGTATCGTATAACACGTATATGAGGAAATGATAAATTAAGTCAAGTTGGTCCCGATGAAGATATTTTATAATGCATTTAATTTTAATTTAGTTTTAATTGAGGTCGGGGCTAAATCATTATTTTATACAAATCTGCCCGATACGTATACGTCGATCCGTGCACGTTTCCAGATACGTGAATAATGCAAAAGCTCTATTAGAGCATTTGCATTATTCACGTATTTGCTGGCGTATCCGTATCGACGTATCGTATAACACGTATACGAGGAAAGGATAAATTAAGTCAAGTTGTTCCCGATGAAGATATTTTACAAAGCATTTAGTTTTAATTCAGATCGGGGCTAAATCATTATTTTATACAAATCTTCCCGATACGTATAGGCGATTTGTTCACGTATCCTGATACGTGAATATTGCAAATGCTCTATTACCACTCCTAATACGTTCGTTCGTCGAGATAGGTTCGTTCGTC